GAGACAAGGTGCAAGATCCGTGGACGAATATACGAAAGACTTTTATCATCTTCTCAATCGGGTCGATGTCCGTGAAACTAATGATCAGTTGGTGTCTAGATATATTGGCAAAATACGTTTTGCAACTCAGGATACCATAAATTTATTGGCACTGGATACAATGTCCGAAGCTCACCAGAGCGCTATAATCGTGGAGCAACAGTTGGCTCGACGATCGAGTTCGGCCTTCTTAGATAATCCATGCAAACTTTCTACGCAGATTTCAGCGGAGTGCCAGGACTGCTAGGCAGCCTCCGCGGGGCCAGCAACATAGTCACAGCGTCGGATCGGGCTTGGGCCGAGCTTCTGCAGCGACGGGCTCTTGCGGTCGTCACACAGGCTGCAACTACTGAAAATCGTCAGGGCAGCATGCTGCGGTGTTTTGCGTGTGACGAGGCAGGGCCCAAACAGGCCGTGTGTCCTCGTTGGGCGGTGTCGAGACTGAGAATGTCATTGACAACGGTAACATTTATGTGGCCCCACCTACTTTGATGAGGAACCAGCGGCACTGGAGGAACACTTGTTCGACGATGCCAGTCATGCCCTTGTTCTCGTCGATCGTATTTGTCGCTTAAGGCCGCGTCTGAGGAATCTGTTGGATTTTGTTATCTCAGACGTGTTGTAGCTGCAGACAGAAAGATCAAAGATTTTGGCGTTTGGGCTTGCCCCTCTGTCGACAATAATGATTCCTTTGAAAGAGGTGTTGTTATGGATGTTAAGGATGACCTCGAGAATTGGAAGGTGGTTTCTGTAGGTCCACAGAATGAAATTTCGACAGATATTTTTCTGAAACAACACATCCCTATGCAATTCATGGAGGTGACTATGGAGGGAGCCACCCTGATGACTCCACATGATCTTTGGAAGCTCGAACAGTGCCAAAGAGTTTATGAAGGAACTAGAGAGCCCATTCTCTGAGATGCTGACCGCAAATCATTTATTGTGGACCCCTGCGTTGTTGTTGTCTGATCGTCGCAAGTGGCTTGTCATGCCCTTGCGGCCGATAAGTGCCAGCATATGTATATGACGACAACATTCTAGTACTTGGTGCACGTACTTTCTTTTCACATACGAAAGTCTGACATGTAATGCCCCAAAGATTTTTAAAGACAATTCCGGACGTATCCAAAAATCCTGTTTTAAAATTTCGAAACCATTTATCGATTTATAGAACATTTGACGCTACTCGAGAACTTTTCAAGTTAAACACATAATCAGCATAAAGGAAATGAGAATATTCAACATAATTCAAGTTCGAGGACTAGATTTCAACATATCTAGCAATAGGATTGTCAACATAATCCAAACTGATAATAATCCACATGGTTCAAACAGTTCAACCAATCCCAAAAACAATAGGGAAAATAGTCTCCACTTTGGAGCACGCAGCCCACTTCGGTTACCACCTATATTAGAACCTTCCCCAACAGACACGCAATAGATGCGATCAACTCGTAGTGAATTACCTGCTCGGAATTTCCATCTATTTTGCAGTGCCGACGACCATCATTTTGTATGCCCGCCGACATTGGGGGCCTCTCTGTTATCATCCGAACCGGTAATCCGGGATTACTTATCCAAAATCACGTGCTACAAGAGTCATTGTTAGCGGTTAACCTGAACACCACTTACTCCGGTCTATGTTGCAAAACCAGGCTTCGACCGACGTGAAGAAAAACTGACTTATCCCATGAGAACCGAGGTCACCACGAACTGAAGTCACCACGAACTGAGGTCACCATCCCCAAAGCTGGTGACAAGGTGCCTACACGCCATCTACACACATCACAAGATTTCTCATCATTCGAATAGGACCCACTCACATGGCCGCCCACCAAAAGCTACTTTACGAAAAAGCTACCGTGCACCTCGAGATACGGACCCTCAAAAAGATACTATAAATAGCAAATTCTTACTCTTGTACGGGGATCGATCTCCGAACATTCGAACACATATATACAAGAATCGCACCACCTTTCACCTCGGTTCACCTCGGACCGGGGCCATTGCTAGTGTTGTTTAATGCATGTTTTACGTTTAGCCTACTCTACATATTCAACTAATCACATACAAATCCGTTGTTAACAATCACATAACAACAATAGTATTATCGTCGAGGCTTTTGTATTTGTATTACAGATAAAACAAACTTGTATTTTTAAAGACAATAGATGTAAACCGTTTGTACATCATGGAGTTAATTCGTCTAAGGAGAGCACACATTTACATCCTTTTAATTTAATTTATTTATTTATTACCTCTCCATTTTTTCTTAGACATTTTTGTTAATATTCACAAACAATACTAACATTCTTTAGACGAAATACTTTGATTTTGTAAGATGACAAGCGAAGGAAATCTAAGTACTACACTTAGCACAAGAATAGCAACCAACTTTTTCAACCCAATGACGGTCATTTCCAAGGTGAAAAGCCGCCGAAAATTACCAAAACTGACTTCAAGAGGTTGCAACAAAATGTACTATTTAATTTAACCTCAGTTTCTTGATTCCTCGCAGGAGACCCTCCATTAATTCCTGAAGAGGACAATGATACGCATAGTCATACGAAGTTAGATGTATGGAATCATAATTATTTCTTGTGTACCAATTATATTTAACAGAATAAATAACACATACTATAATGTGATATTCCTTTTAAGTGGCTATAATTGTCGAAAAAGTTGTCTCCGTGCTGGAAGGACTTCAAGAATTATTTCATTCATAAAGACTATGATATAGAAGTTGGTAGACAAAAATAAATGATGGCTAACTTGAGCGAGATTGAGGCTAAGATGAACTTGTTGCAGTCCGGAGAGAACAGCTCCAAAGCACACTTTCGTAGTAAACTCCGAAAGCTCGTTAGCTCGTTCACAAGTGACCGAACTCCGAGGGAGGGAACGATAAGCGAGCATCTTGCCAGGAGCTCGCTTCTATGAGTTAAATATGAATAAGATGTGCAAGAAGACTTCTAGAAACAATCCTCAGTGGAACACCAAGAAATCAAAGGGTAATGACTACAATAATGGCTTACCCGAGTAGCTTGTCTACGATTGTCAAATTCTAGTATTTAAATTAGTTTAATGAGATCGATAAAATGTAGTGTCAAAAAATAATGTATTCTTAGAAAAACATCACCTTGATAAAGACCTCTTTAAACATAAGGGGTATCTTATGTTAGTGCGTACAATCTGTCTTCTAGGAGAGGCCTGTATGTAGTATTTTGTGGGGTAGATCGTAACTGAGCTACCCGACCTCGAGTCATTCTCAAAGGAAGGCTATTCAGAGCTTTACCTACTACTCGATTGTCCAATACACACAAAAATGGGAAAATAAAGACCTAGACATTCTAATCAATGTGTTGGGGGATGAATTAACACTACTCAAAGCTAAGAGTTACGAGCAGTTGAAAGCAACAAGGAAAAACGAGCGAGTATTAAAATTAAGCTATCGGAGTCTTTATGTCATCGACATAAAAAGGAAAACAAACAACGAAAAGAAATATGCAAGCTCTAAGCTCTAGGTAATTAACCCTAACCTTCTAACCCTAAATGATTAAGCTTTAAATAGAGTCTCAACTCTTAATCTAGATAGGCAAGTAATTAATCCCTACAATCACTCAAGCAAGCAATAAAAATAATCAAGTCCAAACTTTCCATCCATCATCCAACACACTCACAATCACCTTGATAAACATCATAAGTAAAAAGGAGGCAAAAACTAAAGTAATGAGCTTTAAAAGTATATATCCAATCTTCTATTTCGTGCTAGATGAAAATCAATTCAAAAGTTCCGAACTTAGACAAAAAGAAGAACACTAGAAAAGTCGTCGGAAAATGATGACATAAACCTCTAAGAGAAAAATAAAGAGCAAAATAGGAAAATAAAGTTTTTCCCAAAGTGGGAAATTAAGAAAATGAGAGATTTCTCCCCAACTTACAAAGGGAGAAACATATTTATATTAAGTAGCAAAAACACACACTAAACACACACATTAAATGATAACACTCGCGAGCTAGGTCGAACACGCGAGTAAAAGGTGGCTTTTTGCGAGTGAATTCTACGAGCAATGCAGCACTCGCAGGCTAGACAGGCCTTCGCGGGCGCGAGACTCGTTCACTCGCGGGCTATCAAGACTTCCGCGGGCATGGACGCGGAACTCGCTGGCTTGCAGGACCCGCAGGCAGAGTCATCATGGGCGCGGGCGCCAAAGGGAAGAGAATAAATAACTTGCTAGACAAATCTTTATTCCATGAAGATAAATATTTTTGTAACAACTAAATAACTAAATAATAATAATAATAATAATAATAATAATAAAGATACAAGTAAATAATTAAATTAAACCCGAATCCGGTCGTGTTTTTTCAAGAAACAATCGTGAGCTCATCATAAAAAAAAAAAAAACATATTTTCTTTTTTCACGTGTACAACATAAAATTTATTTTCCCATTTACCCCAAAATGGTCTAGAGATTTTTCTAAAATGGTCAACTTAAAAGAAAATTAAACCTGTAAAATAAGTACAAAACTTAAATTTTTTTATTTTATTTATTTATTTATTTTTTGAATTTGCTCTTCCTAATTGTCAGAGTTATTAGGTTAGGTCCACGCACTTATCCTAAAACCAAAACAAATTGTGAGAGTTTGGCATTAGCAAAAATCCACATGGGATTCTCTTCCTCCTATATTCATTGGTGGTGACTGATAACAAGAAAAAAAACGACCCTTTCTTGAAATCACTTTATCAACTTCTACAAACCCTTTCACCATTTTGGAAACCTTTTCCATTTTTGGTACACTTCTCCTTTCTCAAAACTGTTGGCTACTCACTCATCAAATTAAAACCCACCCCTTTCTACCCTTTCTTCTTCTTCTTCTTTACTTTATTGCTTCACAACTTCAATATCTTTATCACCATTTTTTCAAGAATAATAAAATTAAAAAAAAAAAATAGGAAAAATATGGCTCGCGGGAAAATCCAGATCAAGAGAATCGAGAACCAAACAAACAGGCAGGTGACTTATTCAAAGAGGAGAAATGGGCTTTTCAAGAAGGCCCATGAGCTCACTGTTCTTTGTGATGCTAAGGTTTCGATCCTCATGATCTCGAGTACCCAGAAGCTTCATGAATATATCAGCCCCTCAATCACGTAACCATTTCTTTTTTCTTTTTTTATAATAAAAATCATTTTTCGGCAAAATTGTATTTTTAGTCCTACTGTTTTAACGCTCCGTAGCAATTTTAATCACAAAATTTTAACTTTTTGTCTTTTGATTGTTTAATTTGGTATTTTGATGCACTTTCAGTCCAAAATTACAGGACACGAATAGCTAATCAAAAATTTATTTCTGTAATTTTAAATTTTGTTGTATTTTCAGTCCCCAAAGATTAAAATTGCGTTGGGTCAAAATAGTAAAAAATGTTCAATTCTTAGGACAAAAAATGTCACTGGATCAAACGAACAGGACTAAAATTACAATTTTGGGTCATTTTATTTATATTATTACTAATTTATTATATTTCATGAATCTTATAGGACAAAGCAATTAATCGATCAGTACCAGAAGGCTGCCGGAGTTGATGTTTGGAATACTCACTATGAGGTTTTCATTTTATTTTAATAATTTTATGTTTAATTTTGTTAATTTTATTTTCTTTATTAATTATTTATGTGTATAGAAAATGCAAGAGCATCTGAAGAAGCTAAAGGAGGTTAATAGGAACCTAAGGATGGAAATTAGGTGTGTTTCATTTAAAAATTTATTTATTTTAAATATATAATATATAATTTATAATTTTATATAATTTAATAAGTGATTTATTTTGTCAGGCAAAGAATAGGTGAGAGCTTCAATGGCCTTGGATATGATCAAATAGTCAGTCTGATTGATGATATTGAGAGTTCTCTGACTGTGATTCGAGAGAAAAAGGTTTTACTAACGCTCCTAATTTGTTCTATTTACTTTGCCAAGTGAATATATGACTTTTTTTTCAAAAAAAAAAAAAAAAAAATAACAATTATTAGCCAATTGACTCTTCTTTCGCTTGGATCTACGTATCCGTAAAGTTTGTAACCGTTAGATTATCGTGTAATCGTCGAGGATAGTTGATCTAATCGGTTGCAAACCCCGACGGAATGGTTCCGTAACGGGACCGTAGCATCTCTCGTAAAATAATTAATTCAGAATTTCAGATCATTTTTCATAGTAAAATTAATGAAGTGACTGATCAGATCTGGTTAATTTGGTATTGTTTATTGAATGTAAATGTTTTTTCTAAAACTGAAATAATGAAGAAAATGAAGTTAGTATCTTTTGCAATATTTGTCTAAAATATTTTCACGTTTTTGTTTTTGCCCATATAAACGTTTGAATTAGATGTAGTCCTTGCTACGATGCACGAGACAATAACAATAAATTGCATAAAATTAAAGCAATGAATAAATATTAAATAATATGAATACTAATATTAATTTCATATTTTATTTTATATTTATGATATGTAACGATTTAATATATTTTTTCATACTTATTTCACCTGTTATAAAATGCTTTAAATGTAGAATTTCTATTTAGAGTTAATAAACATGAAAATTTCACATATCCAAACATTATAAAATGCTTTTGTTTTAGAGTTTCTATTTTATATTTGACATATCACAACAATGATAATAATGTTTATAGAAATTAAAAAGAACTACCTGCATTTTCTTCTAGAGATTTGAGGCTGCAATTTATATTATATACATCTTATTTTCCTTCTTATACACACATAATAACAAAACCTAACTAAATTCTTCTAACAATAACAGTACAAAGTCATTGGAGGTCAGATAGACACCAGCAAGAAAAAGGTATTATTCATATTCTACTACATTTTATCCATTTTTCTTTCTTATTTAAATTATTATTTTTTCTACATGATTTTTTTTTGGGGGTTTTTTGCAGTTGAGGAATGCTGAAGAAATACATCGAACCCTCGCGCATGAATACGTATGACTTTTCTTTAACCAAAATTCAAATCAAGCACATTTTTTCGGAATAAATGTATGTTTAGTTATGTTGGTTTAACACAATAGCAATTTTAATCTCAATATTCCAACTTTTTGCCGTGTGATCCTGCGGTTTAATATTTTCTTGCAATTTCAGTCCTCAAAGAACTGAAATTGTAGCGAAATATTAAATCACATGACCAAAAGAAAAAAATGTTATAATCTTGGGAGTAAAAATGCTATGGCGTTAAACCAGTAGCAGCCTATTTTTTTCTTTTCTTTTTTGTAATACAAAATAAAATGCAAAGTATAACTATTTGTATATTTGAAGACATTATTAACTTTTATCAATATGATTTGTTTCGTCCTAGGATGCAAGACAGGAGGATCCACACTATGGATTAGTCGAAAACGAAGGTGATTATAATACTATGATTGGATATCCGAACCGCGGGCCCCCTCGGCTAATCACTCTTCGTCTGCCGCTTAATCACCCTGCTAATCTTCACAGTGGAGGAGGCTCAGATTTGACCACATTTACCTTGCTTGAGTAGGGTTAGATGTGTCCCACTATATATGTGGTTTTATAATTAAGCTTTTGAAGAACTTATTAGGTTTTTAATATATTCACGTCTTGGAAAAAAAAAAAAAAATGAAGGAGATAAAGAAAAGCCATGGCGTGTGCATGTATGTATGCTTGCTCTAAGGTTACTCTTGTATTTTCCTATGTATGACGACGCTCTATGGAGAATTTGCTTTCTATTATCATCATTGTGTTTTGAAACTGAACTATGGATTGAGCCCAAAATATGAACGTATCGAGTACTTGGAGTTGGGCCTACTTGGCATTACATAATATCGGATATTGTTTTGTTAGTGATGGCCCACAGCTTCATTAAATATTGATATGTGTCTTTTTATCTAATTGAATAATTAAAAACATTATTTTATTTAATTACTAGAATGTCTTTATTTAATATCTGTAAGAAAAATAAGATTATGGGCAATGTTTTATTTTATTTCAAATATGTTGAATTATTTATATATTACACAAAAAATTAGAAAAAAATATTAAAAAAAATGTAGAAGATGCCACTTCAAATTGAAGGCACATATGAACTCAAAACATTCAAGGATTTAAGAGGTATTTTTTTTTTTTGGTGAAAAGAGGAACAAAATGAGAGTTTAACCATCAAATTCAGACAACCGAGTTGTCGGAAATCGTCTGTTGAATCTTCATCCAGCCATCACGCGCTATTGAAAATCTTGTAATTTTTCTAGTGTTTTTTCCACTTCTGCAAAGTCAAATAAAAATCAAGAGATACCGTTGGATTCCTTACAAAAATGACTTGCTATACACATATGGTTCACGAAAATTTAAAGGTTGGATGTCCGATGACATTCCAGCAAAAATTAATTTGCAATTCATATTTTATTTTATTCTTTGAAACTTGCACAATGATTTAACAAAGTTTGATGTATCATATGATGAAATTAAACATGTCGTCGAAACATCGAGGCAAGAATTTTGAAATGATAAATGATGCATTGAAATACATCACTGGTAGGTCGGCCAAATGACATCCGACAGTGATGGCCTATGGCTGCGAGTGATAGGAAAATGATCGAAACCTCAATTTTGAACACGTTTTAAATTTAATAATCAATTTTTTTTTTTTATTTATATATATGATCTTGAAACTTACTACTTTTTATTGCATTAAATTTAAAGTACGGATGTTAGTGAAAATAAACTTCACCCGGACTCATTCAACTCGAACGACCTCCATACCTGCAAGAACCCAACGCCGGGGGGCCCTACTTCGGGCCTCTGATGTCTAAGTCAATATCACTCCAAACTACAAGTCTATAACTGTCATTATGAATGTAGAGATAATGAAGTTTTGAGATACCTTAGCCCCTTTATAGTAGGAGTCAACATTATGACCCAAGTTGGGCTTGTTTAATACCATCATGCCACGTGTCATAGCCCATGTTAGGTTTATTCTCCAATATATTCATTTTTATCCATTAAAACTGGTAATATCTCGTATCAACAGGTATTATAGGTTTTTTGCATGTGCGACAGGACAATCAACATACTTTTTTGCTTCGTATACTAAATGTAAGGTTGTGATTGAAGTTTTGGTCAATCTAACGGTGAGATGAGATGGCACCTATTGCCAGGTATGTATGTGGGGTATCTTATGCTAGATGGTCTGTATTACTCTTTCACTTGTTTACTGCACGTTTTGGAAAAATTTATAAAAATACGACATTAAAAATTATACTATACACGAACCATTCATAAAGGAGTTATAAACCAAAAACAATGCAATTTAAAAGTCAATGATAAAGATAAACCACAAATCAGCACTTCCTAAATAATAAATATTAATATATTGGTAATTAAAAATAAAATTAAATTTAGAAATTAGTAAGAATTTATAGGTAAAGCATGATACACAAATTGTCATGAAAGCACAATCTCCACGTATTCTTCTAGCTCGATGCTTTGATGACTTGCAGTGCGTCGGAGAGAGTTTTCGGCATAGAAATTCCAGCACGTAAGTTAGTATGTGTTTCAGTGAGTAATGCAAATTGTAATATTGCATGTATGTAATGTGTTAAGTAAAAGAACTTGGTTATATATCTAGGGTAATTTATCCTCTAAGAGAGTCCTAGTTAGGAAACAGATCCTCCTCTATCTATTTAACACCTTGCAGAGGTACGGGATGAAGATGAACCCTACAAAATGCTCATTTGGCGTTAAGTCGGGTAAAATTTTGGGCTATATGGTAATGAAGAAGGGTATCAAAGGTGAACCTGGAGAAGGTGCGAACTGTACTGGAGATGAGACCACCGAAAAGTGTTAGAAGTGCAAATCTTGACGGGTTGGATTGCAGGATCGAGTAGATTTATTTCAAAGGTGGCCGAAAAGAGTAGCCCACTATTCAAATCATTGAAGAAGAGTTCTAAGTTCAAGTGGACGGAGGAGATCCAGAAAGCGTTCAAGGAGTTACAAGTTGTTCTGGTTGACCTGCCATTATTAGCCAAACCAGTCCGCGGCGAGGATCTGGTGTTACACATTTCGATAGCGCAGTGGTGGTGAGATCGATACTCTTGTGGGAGGAAGGTATGGCTCAATATCGAATCTATTATGTGAGTCGGGTGATGCAGGGGGACAAACTAAGACATTTTGTGGTAGAGAAATGAGCTTTAGTGGTAGTCGTAACAGTCGGAGAGAAGTTTTATGTGAAATAATCAAGTAATCATGATAAAATTAAATTAATATGAATGGATAATAAAATAATATTTTTTATATTTTTGTTCTTTATAGTTTTACTCGATCAATCTAAATTTTTAATTCCTTACATAAATGTAAAAAATGTTGGTTATGTGTGTATAATTCAATCATATTAGTGCGAAGGTGTATATTAATGAATCCTTGTGTGTATATTAAGGCGAGTTATGTGAAATGCGATTTTCGATTTTTTTTATTTCGATCTTATATCTTGGTTATTTAGTATTGAAATAAGATTTTTAAACTAGAATTGACAATTTTGGAGTACAATTTAATTTAAAAAATATGGTAAAGGTTAAAGAGAGCTTGAAACTTTTGTTATTATATGTTCATGCATTGACATACAAAGTGTGAATGTGATCAGTTCCTCTTATTATTTTTAAAGTTGACATACAACTGGTGCATCATTAAAAACAAAATCAATTTCATTAGTTCATGAACCCTGTATCTATTTAGTGTACTTGATAAAGACCACCCTTCACTCTATCAGTACTTAGCTAGTTTTATGCACAAAGGTGGCTAGTTTTCGAACAAATAGTGAAAGTGTTGCCACAATTGGCTTTGCTTGGCGGGTCAAGATGGTGGCTGGTTGTCTCGCATTTAACATAACTTTGATCGTTAATGGATGATAGTAAAGAATCAAGAATATTTACTGCTTCTTTCATATTTTCTTTGCTTGATTCCAGATTATATGCTTGTAGTTCATGTAATCTAATTAAGTCGATTTAATTCAAGATTTGTGCTTTTCATTACATACTGGATTATGCACGTAAATAAGTGCCTTTCTCCCATAGATGTTGGCTTTCGAAAAAAAAAAAAAAAACTCGTATAGCCACAAAAAAATTTATGATTAATAAAAAACATCAACCTGAATATGTTATAGGTATCGCGACATTTACAATTGAAGGACTATATTTTGTTGATAGAACTACAAATGCAGTTGGGAGCCAATTCGTGCTTACGTCGACCGTGCTGGAAGAAGTTCAGAGTCGTTTAGATTTGAAATTGGAACCTGATGTGGTCGTTAGTAGCGGCTCATTAAGGACCGGTTGTGATCCGGGTTCTAGTCGCACTCAGCTGGGTGGTTCATTCTGGTAGGCGCGGTCCATGGTACCTTTAGAGTACATGGGTGGTAGGTGGACGCTCTGGTAGGCGGATGCTCTGGTAGACGTAGCCCATGGTGCTTTTGGAGTACATGGGTGGTAGGCGGAGGCTAGCTTAACGTGAGCTAGGCAAGGCACCTTGGCACCTAGGTAGCTGGACGTTCCGCTAAGGCGACCAGAGCCCAGAGGTGGTCTCGTGCTCAAGTCATGAAGAGGTTCGCAACCTCAAGGACTCTTAGGATCTTGACCTAATTCAGATAAAGACTCCTATTATGATAAGAACTCTTCAACTACTACATGACTTCATCTATAAAAGGGCACAGGTTCATTCACTCTAAATAACATATACATACAAATTCTCTCGTTACTCTGCCCTTTTTTTCGCACCACCACTGACTTGAGCGTCGGAGTATTCGCGCCGGGACCACCCACTGCGTGTTTTGCAGGTACCGACGATCAAGGAGACGTATCCCAGTTCGAAGAGGAGCGGTCCAGCGGTCCAAGTATTTGTGGTATAACAAATTGGCGCCGTCTGTGGGAAACTCAGTCTTCTACCGGAGCATTAAAGGCTGTTTTTTCTCACCATAGAAGCATAGAACAAGGATCATGGCAGGAGATAACTCAAAGAAGAACCTAACGAAGGAGATGGATGCAGAGTGGGCTCGGAGGGCCTTCGGGACAGGTCCCCCACCAGGATGGTCACCATCGCTTGTCACCCCTAAAGAGACGTTGTTGGCCCCAAACGCGACCCCTTCGCCACCACCAGAGGCTCAGGGGCACTTGGCGAACCCAGGGGGATCGGGTAATATGGCGGACAAAGGGAAGGAGGCTGGTACCACGGTTGATGGGGGGATGAATCAAGGTGTTTTGGGATCTGTAGGTGCAGGTGATCAGAGTGGTGCCCTTGGTAGTAGGCAGTTGGTCATGGTAGGAGCACAAAACCCTCCGGGGGATAATGTTTCTTCGGCACCACGGGAGGACCCGGTTATTCAGATGACCAGGTCGGAGTTGGACAAGATCATTGCTGAGGCGATAGGCCGGGCTCAAGAGGTGGATAAGAGAACTCCTAATGAGTCATTTCGACAACTTCCACCACGACAGCCACTAGCACCTCAACAACAGGTCCCCTTGCATCAGCAGCACCAGC